GGAGAATAAGGAACAGCACGATAAGGCTCAAATTATCTGTGTGTTTGTATATTCTTTTTTTTTTTAAAATTCTTACATATCCCACCTCATAGAAGGGAGCTCACTCGTCCTCCCGGGAAAGCACAAGCATAACTTTAGAATATACCTGGAAAGAATCAAAAATGCAGAGAAGGGCACCTTTCATTTTCCTAATCACAAGTCTTGACAGAAAACAACAGCTTTGCCCTTTTAAATGGCCTGAAGAAGGGTGGTTTTTGGCAACTGGACTGATGGCTGGTTTGCTGAACATCACCGTGAAACAGATTTCTAACAGCAAGGGACAGACTTTTTTTCTACCAATTATCCTTGACTTACAGTGGGCAGAAGACATGGAAATAATAATAATAATAATAATCGTCTGTCAAATACAAGGTTTTTGTTCTTCCTCTTATTTCTAAACACTAACTAAATACGCAATGAAAAAGCTGAACCCGGTAATACCAACTGTTGCTCAAGAATCCATACTGGACATCCATGCCCTAGTTAAAGCTCTGTGCACTATCTCCTATTTGTAATCAATTTGACGGTGGAACAAAATTAGCGCTTCCATGGGAAGCAAGGTCGCAATGGCCAGAAAAGAGTCAGAACTAATTCCTACCAGTAGAAAAGAGAACTGGCTAAAAAAAATCCAGTAAAAATAACTGTACAAATGTCATTCTTGTGAAATTTTATGACAACGGGTGAAAGTTAGGCCCAAAACTTTCATTATTCGATACAGGGGGCGGATTTTTCTCCTCGTGCCCTGCATTCAGATCGAGCGCAGAGAAACGTCAAACCGCACGGCTGTAGCCCCAGACAGCTCGGGACAGGGTTAACCCAGGCTGTCAACAGCATGAGGAACATTTATCCGGCCAAGGAGAGCAAGGAGCTACTGATTTCTTAGCTTGTGTTGGTGCTACAACAGCGTCTGCTGCCGTGGACTGAACGCTGAGGGATCTGCCCAGCGCCGTCCTGCCAGGCTGAGGAGTTGGGATGGCAGAGCCGGCTTGGTGAGGAGACAGTCGGTGTCTCTTAGAGTAAAAAAAATACCTGTTACTTGCAACTAAGATCAGCATCACAGGAGAAAGCAACATTTACCACTGAAGGTGGTAAAAACACCTCGCAGGCTGTGTACTACCAGCACCCTTCTCTCTAACGCCAGAAAGCTGCGAGGAGGGTTTGCTCCTCTTCACTTGGGAGAGACGCACTGGAAACGCCCGGCCCGGGAAGGCGCCTCCCGGCAGCGGGACCCGCGGCGCGCCCGCCCTCCAGCGCCCGCCGGGGAAGCTCGGAGGGACAAAAGCCGACGGCGCCAGCGGCGGGGCAGCAGCGGGGGATCCCCCGGGGGCCCCCGGGGCCCGGGGGGCGGACCGG